ACTCTTTATCAATATGCAGCTTTTCTAGATTTACTTTCTAGATCTAGGAAAGCTGCATATTGATAAAGAGTAAGAGAAAAAATATATATAGATTGCTCTTTACAAAAGCTGTTTGCAAAATCTCAGCCGCAGCCTCTCTTCTGGAAAAGAGAAACGTGGAACCTTAACATTTTATTCCCCTTTGAGACACCGCCTTAGGCGAAGCTCACTCACTGGGTCTATTCTAGGAAAGTCCCTTTCCACTCGTTTCCTTGAGATTCGGAAGCATCTCTACCATTCCCGGAGTCTATGATCCTTCCTACTTGGGCTCTTTAAATGCAGGGGGTCCCCAAACTTGCCAACTTTAAGACCTGTGGACTACAACTCCCAGAATTCTCCAGCCAGCTATACTGGCTGGAGAATTCTGGGAGTTGGAGTCCACAAGTCTTAAAGTTGCCAGGTTTGAAAATGTCTGCTCCGAAGGGACTCCCTTAAGAAAAGAACGCATGCGACTGGGGCAGACCCGGATGTTGTTACCGCTCGCGGAAAAGACACTATGCCACGCGTAGCGGTCTTCTAGAAGGGTCCCACTTGGGGAAAGAGCAAAGACGATAGAGTTGAGACTTGAGCCGCCACTTCCGTCCACTCAGTTCCGATCTCTGCCGGAGTTCTGGGCGAGAAAGGATTAGAAAAAAAGGCGGAGGAAGACCGACCTAAGCTGAGTTTTCTCTGGCGCTGCCGGCAGAGAAGCAAGAAGGAGCGACGGTGAGAAAGAGAGAGAGAGAAAGAGAGGGTGGAAGGCGAGCCGGTTAGCGGCAGCCTCTGCTCTTCGCCGGGGAATACGGGAGCTGGGCAGGGAGAAGCGGGTGGCCGGGAGGGTGCAGGGCAGCCACGAAGTCGTCCCCCTCCCCGTGTCTTCGTTGCCCGTGGAGACGGCTTGCTGTCGGGGGATGATGGATGGGGAGTGGGGGATGCCCTTCCTCTTAGCACCTGGATCGTATCACCTGTAAGATTCCCGAGGGGTCATCAGGGGGCAGCTCCCCCCCCCCGCATGAAGACGGACAGAAGGAGGAAGTTTGGCTCATTTTACAAACAATCGCTTCTCACTTTCTTTTTTTAAAAAAAAGAAAGAAAGAAAAGAAACCTGAAACTTTGGCCGGGAAAAAAAAAGGAGGCGCAATCCTTGCTACACACCCGGATTCGTGATCTTACCGTGAAGCAGGCGGGGCAGATATGGATGCAGAAACAGCAGGAAGTACTCTGGGAATTTCAGCTTATTTGTGAATGCACTGAATTAGGGTGGTTCCTCCCCCCACCCCTTCTCACATCTTTCCTGCTTTTGCTTTGCTTTTCCATTGCTTGGTGTTTTAGGCAATTCTGATCAAACGTTTGGAAACGTGTGTGTTGTGGTCATCTAAAAGTTGCCATAGGGAAAGCTGGCAGTAGTTTTTTTTGTGTTGAGAGTAGAATAGAATGGGGAAAAAATAGGGAATAGAATAGAATTAGGAATGGAATAGAATAGAATTGATTTGTTTATTGGCCAAGTGCGATTGGACACACAAGGAATTTGTCTTTGGTGCAAATGTACATAAAAAGTCAAGATACATTCAAAAAGACAAGAATCATAAGGCACAACACTTAATGATAGTCATAGGGTGCAAATAAGCAATCGGGGAAACAATATCAATATAAATAGTAAGGCTACAAGCAACGAAGTTATGGTCATGGAGTCATAAGTGGAGGGAGATGGGTGATAGGAATGATGAGAAGACTAAGTAATAGTAATGCAGTGAATAGTTTGACAGTGGTAAGGGAATTGTTTGCACAGGTTGAAACCACTGCTATATTGCAGTGTATTTTATGGCAGGGAAGCATGATGAGAACATCCTGGAAAGTAATGCTAGATAAATGGCTTATTTTTAAAAAAATGCCATCAAAATTTCTGAATGAAATTACATAAAGCTGTAATTTCATCAGGCTGTGCTCCTTTAATGCCTTAAGCTGATACACTATGGCTTTAAAAATTACATGTATGTATGCTTTGAATGAAGACTTAAAATGACTTCCTGAATTGCCATCTGCTAAACAAAATAGCATGTCCCAGCTGATACAGCACAAAGTACACGAATCTATTATAACTTCTTATTTACCTATAGACAGTGATTGCTTCATTCTATTATAAGGGGTGATCACAATCTATCACAAATGCATATACATTGCTAATCCTATGTGTTTACTTATATAAAAGCAATCATTGTTTCGCATTCAGTTAAAAAACAGAAGTTTGCTATTAAGTACAGTAATAGCTGTATTTAACACAATCAATAATTTTTAATGATGACTGTAATGTTTTGTGGGCATGTTCAGGCAAATAAGGCTTTAGCTGTCAGTATATACAAGACTAATCTTGGTGAGAAGACAGTATACAACAGTGATGGTGAACGTAAACAGAGCCATTTGCACAGATTACAGTACTTTTTTGGTTTGGGTTCAGATTTTGTTTATCTATTTGTTGCCCTGGTAACAGATTTTTCTTTTGTCCTTCAAGGCCATTATTTTTATCCTCTACAATAGACCAAACTAAATCAAATTTATACAGTTAGCATTCTTTTAATGCCCATTCATGAATTTACACAGCAAATATATAGAATCCAGCAAGAGTCAGAAAGCACACTTTATTGATAAAATACAAGTAAACATCTTGTTTTTCCTTGCCTTCATCTACTCTGTTTAACACATAACAGTTACAATGGTCAATATTAGACAATAATGCAAAAACAGCAACTCACAGGCTCAAGATTGATGGATGAATGGTAAATGATTTTAAAATAGCTTCATAGTTTTTGATTTTAAAAAAATCAAACCTCCTTGGCACATCCTCCCACACCTTTCCTGACCCGTGCTATGACCTCCATGTACTGCAGCACTTTTTAAGCACTTTCCAGCACCCCCAGTGCAAGACCTCTGCAACCCCCAGGCATTCTTCTTGACCTGTGCTACCCTTCCACATGTTCTACTTGACCTGCATTGCGCCTCTTAGATATCCCCGTGACTCCCATGCACCCTTCTTGACCTACACCACCCTCTACCTGATCCACACTGCACTCTTGTCCCAGGCACGCTTCCCAGCACCCTATGCTGTCTATGTGCTCTTCACGATTCACACAGCATCTCTGCTACAGACCCTTCCTAAAGAAGGAAGATAGATTTCTGCTGCTCCCTGTTAGCTTCTCATAAGGAAACTCAATAGGAAAGCTGGCAGGAAGTTGGAAGACCTTGCCCTCCCCGCTGCTTTTTTGCCCACCTATGATGATTTTGTTTTGCTCTTTACATAAAGAAATATCTTAAATGATGACCCAATGGGGAATGAATTATCTAGTAATATTTTAAAGATCCTAATTTATTTGTAGCGCTTCCAGTAGTACTCTTCCTCTGCACATCTGTAAAAGTCCCAAGCAGTTTTGTTTTCTCTTCCTTGCTTCCGTGCTGTAAAAGTGTTTTATAGTCGTCATATTTAGTTTAAATTATCCTGTAAATGTGTGTTGAATGGTTCAACAAATGCAGTTTTACTTCTCCCGTGTTTGAGTTTGTAGGAAGTGATTAAGTAGAAATATCAGTTACAGAGAAGTTTTAGCTATGAAAGAGTGTTGTTCCACTGCTTAATTTTGTAAGTATAGATCCTAGTTTTCATTGCATGCAAAGAAGTAAAAGGATTGTTTAAGGATTGAAGTTTCTTACTTTGGTAATTGTAAAGCTAGTACATTAATTTAATATATTTGCATCTATATTTTAAGGTTAGATATAAAGATGCCAACATAAAACATTTTTAACAGGTGCCTGTAGGTGCATAAACAGGTACATGCCATATAATAAAAGCATTGTCAAATACTTTATACTGTTATATGCCCTTAACTCAGTTCCTGCTCTTTAGCTTGTCCATTTAATTTTTAAAATGTGTAGTTCCTGTAATATACTTTGAAATGAGGACAGAACAGTTTGTGACTCTTAAAGTATTTGTTCAAGCTTATCCAGCCTAAAATAGAGACTTATGATGTTGCTCAGAAATTGTATAAGAGCAAGTTCCATGAGAGGAAGAAGAAAATAGGGCTTTTTCTTTCTTATTCTTTTGAAATCTCATTTTCTCCTAATAATCAGCAAGTTAATTAAAGCTATTTGTAGGCCTACATACAACTGAAATACTCTTTAATCAAGTTGATAAATATCAACGTAAGTAAAGTTTGGAGAATTTCTGAAATCTTTCTGTATTGTGTAGAGCATAGGAGTGTTGCTGTTTCATGACGTTTTTCCCCTTTGTGGAGCTAGAGTGAGTGTGCCCTGTGCATGACGCATCTGTCCCCTGGGCTGCCAGTTTGACACCCCTGGTGTAGAGGAAAATGCAAACATCTTAGTAAGCATGTCTTGATGTAAATTCTCTCTCCAATTTATTTCACTGGTTAAATAGTGTAAATCAGTACTCCACAATCTGTCCCAAGTTTGAGTGACAGTTTGAGAACTCACAGCGGGAACATTACATAAAAAAAATAGTTAAGCCCATCTAGAAATCAAACACTCCCTATATTAGGCAAAGTTCTAGGAGGGAAAAATGAGAAATGTTGGAGGCCAGCCATTGAAGAGTTAATACATCAATATGATGGATCAGGCAACTAAGGTTTAATGTTTGATAGTTAGTTACATAGACTCATAAGCAACACATCTGATCTTAGAGAATTTTTTAGTAGAACGTGAATTTCCCTATATTATGAGCCACGGTGGCGCAGTGGTTAAAGTGTGGTACTGCAGGCTACTTTCTGCTGACTGCCGGCTGACTGCAATTTGGCAGTTCAAATCTCACCAGGCTCAAGGCCTTCCATCCTTCTGAGATGGGTAAAATGAGCACCCAAATTGTTGGGGGCAATATGCTGACTCTGTAAACCGCTTAGAGAGGGCTGTAAAGCGGTAGATAAACATTTTTTTTTTAGACATTTTATTAGGATTTATAGGCCGCCCTTTTCCTTGAGGGGACTCAGGGCGGCTTACAATCACAGGGAAGGGGGTGCAATATCAAAAGACAAACTGTGCGAACAGAAGAAAATAATAAAACACAACTTTCATTCAACAGTCAACACTCGGGC